CTGTGTACCTTGAGTTTCATTTCATATGTAGATTTCCCCCTCCACTTCTTCTTTCTCATTTTTTTCCCCTAGAAATATATTTGTTGAAGGAACCAGGCTATTTGTCCTGTAGTGCTTTGCTCCTCAAAGTGTGGTCCCTGGACCAACCAGGAGGGTCAGCATCACCTGGGAGCTTGTCAGAGCTGCAGGACCTTTAGCTGGGCCTAGTGGTAGGCACCTGCAGTTCCAGCTACTCTGGAGGAGGCTGAGGCAGGAGGATCACTTGTGTCTGGGAGGCAGAGGTTGTAGTGAGCTATGATCGCGCCACTGCACTGCAGCCTGGTTGACAGAGCAAGACCCTGCTTCTTTTAAAAAAATTAAAATGGGCCAGACGTGGTGGCTCACACCTGTAATCCCAGCACTTTGGGAGGCCGAGGCAGGCAGATCGCCTGAGGTCAGGAGTTCGAGACCAGCCTGGCCAACATGGTGAAAACCCATCTCTACTAAAAATACAAAAATTAGCCTGGCGTGGTAGCGGGCACCTGTAATCCCAGCTACTTGGGAGGCTGAGACAGGAGCATCGCTTGAACACGGGAGGTGGAGGTTGCAGCAAGCCAAGATTGCACCACTGCACTCCAGCCTGGGTGACAGAGTGAGACTTCATCTCAAAAAAAAAAAAAAAATTAAAATTAAATAAATGCAGAGTCTCAGGCCCCTTCCCATGCCTACCAAATCAGAATCTGCATTTTGACAGGATCCCAGGGGCTTCCTGTGCATATTAAATCTGGAGAGGGCTGGCCTGGTTTCCTATAGCCTGGATCTGGCGGTGCATTCCTGTGGTGGCGTTTTAACATTTTCCTTTGTCCCCTGTATTTCCTGTAAACTGGGAGTTGGGTCCCAGGGTGCAATTAGATCGGGTTTGGCGGACAAGACTGCTTCAGAGACAGTGTTGTTTGTGGAGGCGGAAGCTGGCTAGACGGGCTCCACTGGAAAGATGGGAGCGGGGCAAGACAGTCTGAGGACACTTCCTGGAATTCTTTGTTTTAATTTTTGGTTTGAGATAGGCTCTTGTTCTGTCACCCAGGCTGAAGTGCAGTGGTGTAATCATGGCTTACTCCAGCCTCGACCTCCCAGGCTCAAGTGATTCATCTTAGCCTCCTGAGCAGCTGCAACTACAGATATGGACCACCACACCCGGCTAATTTTTTATTTTTTTGTAGAGATGGGGTCTCACTATGTTGCCCAGGCTGCTCTTGAACTCTTAGGCTCAAGTGACCCTCCCACTTCAGCCTCCCAAAATTCTAGGATTACGGGTGTGAGCCACCGCACTCTCTGGGTTTTGAAGAATGAGTATGCTTGGGAGAGAAATGGGAAAGGCATTCCCAGTGTGGGGTGTGATGTGTACAGAGACAGATGACAGGTTGCCCTGGGAGAGTTGGAGGAGGTTGGCCTGGCTGGATCAGAGGTGGGACAGTTTAAGGGTGACCTCTGAGCCATTTTGGAGCCTCTAACGCTCAGATGAGGACCCGCAAATAGGCCCCAGAGTTTGAGGTCCAGAGCCAACCCTCCCTTCAGCCCACCTGTTTCCTCACCTTTCCTCTTCTCCCCTGCCAGGTGGAACCCAACACAAAGCTATTTCCTGCTGTCTTCGTCCTGCCCACCCACCAGAACGTCATCCAGTTTGAGCTGGGGAAGCAGAAGGTACAAGTGCCGTGATGGGGGCGCTAATGGGGGCAGGCTGAGGCAGGAAGTGTGGGGAGGCGAGGCAGGCAGAGTCACTGAAAGGGAGGGGGCAATCCAAGAGGTCTCCCTGGAAGTGGTGTGGTGGGACACAGGGGGCTGGCCATCTTGACCCATGCATGTCTCTCTGTGCTCAGAACATCATGCCGTTGTCAGCCGCCATGTTCCAGAGCGAGCGCAAGAACCCGGCCCCGCAGTGCCCGCCGCGGCTGGAGATGCAGATGCTGATGCCAGTGTCCTGGAGCCGCATGCCCAACCACTTCCTGCAGGTGGAGACGAGGCGCGCCGGCGAGCGGCTGGGCTGGGCCGTGCAGTGCCGGGAGCCGCTGACCATGATGGCGCTGCACATCCCCGAGGAGAACCGGTCAGGGCCAGCCCAGCTATGCAGGGGTGGGCAGGTGTTGCAAGCCCTCTGGGGTCTGGGTCTGACTCAGTGCCCCTCCTCAACACAACCCTGCGATTCCAGGCAACACCCCGGGAATCTCCAGACCTACCTCAGGGGACTCGGGCTCAGCTCAGATGTCCCCAGATTACACACCCCAGGGGGATTCAGACTCAACTCAGGAGCCTCTAGGCCATCCCAATGGACCGCAGGCCCACCCTAAGGGACCCCAGACAATACCCCAGGGGCCCAGAGCCACTCCACAGGGCCCCACACCCATCTCAGGGAGCCAGACCCACAGCAACACCCCAGGGGGCCCCAAGTACACCCTAGGATCCCTGGACATGGTTCAGGAAGGCTCGGATGCACCCTAGAGTCTCTTGGGCATACCCAGGGAGACTAAGAATCCCATGGAGATCTCAAACCCATCCCAGAAGATCCAGACACACCTAGGGCCACAGACGCATTCACATGGATGGCAGGGTTACTCTTAGGAACTCTGAAAATGGCCAGGCGTGGTGGCTCACGCCTGTAATCCCAGCACTTTGGGAGGCTAAGGCAGGCAGATGACCTAAGGTCAAGAGTCTCTACTAAAAATACAAAAATGAGCTGGTTGTGGTGGTGTCCACCTGTAATCCCAGCTACTCGGGAGGCTGAGGCATGAGATTTGCTTGAACCCAGGAGGCAGAGCTTGCAGTGAGCCGAGATCGCGCCACTGCACTTCAGCCTGGGCAACAGAGCAAGACGTCGTCTCAAAAAATAGAACTCTGAACATGGGAGCGATCCCAGACTCAACTAGGAAGTTTCTGACTTTCCTTCCTTCCTTCTTTCCTTCCTTCCTTCCTTCCTTCCTTCCTTCCTTCCTTCCTTCCCTCC